GTAAAAATAGACATTCAGCTGAAAGCATTACACTAACATTTACATTTTAAGCCTTAGGAGGTTATTCAGCCCAATTCCCAGCAGTGGACAGAATACTAAACTTGTCTCAAGGTTTCATGGTTTTTCCCACATTCTTTGGCTGTTAATTTAATTTCCCAGGTCACATAGACAATCATTCATAATTGAAACAAGCTGAGTTGAAATAACCTTGAGTTGAGCAAAAATATCCTCATTTTGGCAGAAGCTGGGCTTGGTAGTACGGTAAAATTTTAGTGTAATGTGCTTTTGTAATTGAAAGGGGAAAGATAATCTGGATGTTTCTGCAAAGGAAAATAGGTGTGTACTTAACAGCTTTGGCTCTACTCAGTTTCTTAAAAATATAAGAGCGAAAAACCTAAATGTTTTGATTAAGTTTCCTTTAAATTGTAGTAATACAATATATGAAGCTCCTTTTTTTACTTTTGCTCTGTGACTGGTTTAAAGGTAAGTTTGTTATGTTGTTGGTAGATTTTGCCAGGCTTCTCCCAACAGAGTAGAAGTGATTTAGCCTTGTAACTTAACAGTGGTTTACCACTTTGTTCTACGTTCTAGTTTTTAAAAGGAAAGTATTGGAATTTGGGTCTGAAGACCAATCTTGGTGTAACTCCTGTCAGTGTATTGGTTAAAATGTAGCAGAGGCAGGAGTTTGGATGGTTGAATGGGATTCCCTTAAGATTCTACAGCCAATAAAGATGCCACTTTCCATGCATGTCCCAGGAATCAGTCCTCTTTTACTCTGTTGGGATGAGTCTCCTTTTGTTTCTGTTCAGAGTGGTTACTAACTTCACCTTCTTTCCTCTTGCTGTCATCTGCATTCGTGCTTCCCACCTGTTGTTGGCATGTCCTTTACCTTCTCTTTCCCTGCCACATCAATCTACACACTGACTCATCGATGTGGAAGATGTGGAAGATGTCAAGTTTGTGATCAACTATGACTATCCAAACAGCTCAGAGGATTATGTGCACCGTATTGGCCGAACAGCCCGTAGCACCAACAAGGGCACCGCCTATACCTTCTTCACCCCAGGGAACCTGAAACAGGCCAGAGAGCTGATTAAAGTGTTGGAAGAGGCTAATCAGGCTATCAATCCAAAACTGATGCAGCTAGTAGACCACAGAGGTGGCGGCGGAGGCGGGGGTAAGGGTAAGTCCTGGAGTTTTCCAGGTACTGCTGAGGTATCTTTTTATGCTTATTATGCCTTGTTTTTAACCATGCGAAGGCTTTAAGTATGTTGCCTAATAACAAAGGACACTGCCTCATGCATTTTGTAACCTTTTTCAAGTAAGAAAACATGAAGTTTGTCGTAATACTCCTACTTCTGCAGCACAGTATTATTAAGTACATGGTGCTTGTGTACAGTTAAGCTAAATTGTGAATTCTTTTTTTCCTTAAAGACTGGTCCAAGTTTTAATGTGGTTGCTTTGTGGAGCAGGGGTGGAGATAAGAGTCTCACTCTGTTGCACAGGCTGGAGTGCAGTGGCGTGATCTTGGCTCACTTCAACGAACTCTGCCTCCTGGGTTTAAGCGATTCTCCTGCCTCAGCCTCCCAAGTAGCTGGTACTACAGGCATGTGCCACCGTGCCCAGCTAATTTTTGTATTTTTTGTAGAGACAAGGTTTCACCCTCTTGGCTGGTCTTAAACTCCTAACCTCAAGTGACCTGCCTGCCTCGGTCTCCTAAAGTCCTGAGATTACAAGTGTGAGCAGTGTGCCCAGTCATGGTTGCCTTTTTAGTACTTTCAAAAATGCTTAGTAGTATATTAGCTTTTCAGTTTTCCATACGGAGAGATCATTTTATGCTGTTGGGTGGTGGGTAGAAACTGAGACATAGGATCTGTGCTTCCTAACTCATAGTTTCATATTCTAGGACCACGTTTCTTGATTATCCTCAAGTTAAGGACCTAAAGGGTGAAAAGGCCTGGTGTCCTTTAATGTTTAATACTTTTTTACCCAGTAGAATTTTGACAGTTATGTTTAGACCATATATATGGCCTTAAAAGTTTCCTCATATCTTCCCGTTAGGTGGTCGTTCTCGATACCGGACCACTTCCTCAGCCAACAATCCCAATCTGATGTATCAGGATGAGTGTGACCGAAGGCTACGAGGAGTCAAGGATGGTGGCCGGAGAGACTCTGCAAGCTATCGGGATCGTAGTGAAACCGATAGAGCTGGTTATGCTAATGGCAGTGGCTATGGAAGTCCAAATTCTGCCTTTGGAGCACAAGCAGGCCAATACACCTATGGTCAAGGCACCTATGGGGCAGCTGCTTATGGCACCAGTAGCTATACAGCTCAAGAATATGGTGCTGGCACTTACGGAGCTAGTAGCACCACCTCAACCGGGAGAAGTTCACAGAGCTCTAGCCAGCAGTTTAGTGGGCTAGGCCGGTCTGGGCAGCAGCCACAGCCACTGATGTCACAACAGTTTGCACAGCCTCCAGGAGCTACCAATATGATAGGTTACATGGGGCAGACTGCCTACCAATACCCTCCTCCTCCCCCCCCTCCTCCTCCTTCACGTAAATGAAACCACTCAAGTGGTAGTGACTCCTGCAGACTTCATTACATTTTAAGGAACACTGTCTTTCCTTTTTTTTTTTTTCTCTTCACCTTTTCTTTTTCTTTTTTTTTTTTAATTTTTTCTTCCAACCATTGTGATTTGTCTTTCATGCAGATTAGTTAGAATTCACTGCCAGGTTTCTTCTGCCCGCCAAAATGATCCAGTCTAATAACATTTTGTAAAAATATATACATATATAGCCGACTGGAAGAGATTAACTTCTTCCCCCAACTTGCATGTTGAAGATATTTGAGCTATTTTTCATCTTTAAGAGTAAGGTATTAGGCCCTTCTGTGGGAGCCCATCTTTTGTTTTTCTGAGTTGGCGGGGTGGGGGGAGGGGGGGAGGAGGAGGGCTGAATTGTTTTGGAGAGGAAGATGGCATCTGTGCTTTAAATTTCTCATTACTGGGTTAGAAAACCAGGAGGGATTTCCCTGCACATTTTCTATAGTGCTTTTAAATGTTTTTCAAGTTGGAACAGGTTTCTTCAGGCTGCCTGTTTTGACTGGCTACTTGAGTGCATTTAACAGTTAAAAATTACTAATTGGTTTTATCTCCTTTTACATTCTGCCTTCCCACCCCCATTACTGAAAAATAACCATTTTAGTGTCAAGTTAGAAATTCAATTGCTGAGTCTTATGTATCCTTTAAATTAAAAACCAGGAGTGTTTATTGCAGTGGTTAAACTCTAGCATCTTGGCATCTGGGTGGAAACGGCCTGTATTTCTTCCCAATATAACTGGGGACCATCTGTGAAATTCATTTTCCAGCCAGACAGCTGTTGTGAGCAAATCAACGTAAATGCTCACTGGAAGTGTACTAACCAGTAAAAACTGGTGTAAAAAGCACCTTTAATTACAAACAGTGTATTCAGGATGGGCAAATGCAGTGTAGAGCTAGAATAAAAACAACTCTTCGCCAGTTACTCTGCCCTTTTGGCAAAGTTGCTTTGAACAAAGAATCTTAAGGGTTTATTAAGAACTCTTATTTTCTTCATATCCTGTTCTCTGCAGTGCTTTCTAACAGCTTCTGGGTGCAGGTTTTCTTCGGCATCCTTTTGCACTCAGCTTATTACAGGTAGGTAGTGCTTAAGAAAAGTTATGGAGGGCTAAAGCCTAAGTCCTTTTCACTTTTCCTCCATCTGAAGGTCGGTGAGTTCATCCTCTTTATAGTAATGTTGTTTTACCAAGAGTTTTTAGAGCAGATGGACCCAGAAAGAATTTTCTGCTGTTGTGTTCACTGCAACAGGATAAAGACAGCAGACAGCCCCAGAAACCCGTTCCAGATCTGATATGGGACTTAATTTTTATGCTGTTAATTGGTATTCATTCACAGTGCAGTTAAAGGTGGAAGGCTCCACTGCATTCTTTGGCTAAGGCTTGCTAATTTGTAAGATCTAAATGCTTGAGGGTTTTGTTACTGTTTTCCTTTTAAAATTCTTTAGGGAGAGAGGGATGGTTTCTGAGGGCTTCTGAAAGTATGATTTAATGTGCAACATACAGGTAGGTTGTCAGCATAAGCTGAAATATGTGCATGTAAAAACTGACATCTTTATTTTAATTTTCCACTTTCTTCTTTCTTAACTACTTCTCTTTTTGCCCGCCCCCCACCCCAGTCTTACAGAAGTTGAGGCCAAGGGAGGATGGTAGGCACAGAAGAAACATGGCAAACTGCTCTGTGCTTTCACACCAAAGTGTTTCACCCCAAATTCAACTAAGCACTGGCCAGTCTTTTATGGGCATTGTTATCTACAACCAAACTGGTTTTTTTTTCCCCCCTCTTTCTTTAAACATAGAGGTTCCACCACAAGGGATGTCCTACTCTCTTGCAGCTCTTGAAAGCATCTGTTTGAGGAAGAGGTCTCTGGGCAAGCAAGTGGGTTATTTGGATCGCTTGCTTCCCTTTTTCCACCTGGGACATGGTGATCATAAAATAACAGTAAATTCCAAACCTCAAAAGCTATTATGGCCTGAGCACAGCTGAAATCTAGCAGAGTTTAACTCTTCTGCCTCCATGTCTGTCACTCATAATTCAGGTTCTGCTATTGGCTTCAGAACATGAGCAGAAGAATCATTGTATGCTAGTTAGTGCATTCATGGTTGAAACTCAACTTAGGGAAAGGGTTTCAATGTATTAAGCAATGGGCTGCTTCTCCCCAATCCTCCCTAACAATTCGTTGTGTGGACTTTCATCTAAAAGGTTAGTGGCTTTTGCTTGGGATCAGTGCTCTGTTCATGTTCCTGCTGATCTCCAAACACATTCCTGTTGCATTAAGACTTGAAAGATTTGTAGATGTGTGTTCAGGCACAGGATGCTGAAAGCTTGTTACTACTCTTAGTTTGTAAATTGTCCTTTTGATACCATCTTGTTTTCTTTTTGTAGGTATAAATAAAAACACTGTTGACAATAAGGTGTGAGCTTTTATTGCTTAAAAACTTTGTGAATAGTAGACATCTTAAAACAGATTTTATTTGTTTCAAGACAAAAAAGGTTGGGGATATTGGTTCATCACCTTAGCACCACCTAAAACTGAAAGGAAGTGGGACTGATGACAAGAATTTGAGTTGACAACTTAGCAGGATACCTTGTAGGTAAGGGCTTGGGTATATCTGCTCATTATTACTAAGACAGTGATTGTGCAAATGGTACTAACCTTTGGTGGTTATTAAGTGCAAGGCTGGTATCAGCCACTGGTTTGAAAAAAAGTAAAAGATGAAGCACAAACTACTCCAGCCAAACCTGGTAAATTTGGTTTGCTTCGGGCCTGAAGGCAGCGTGGAAATGAAGTAAGTTTCACACTTAAAACTAGCTGTCACTTCTGTATCTTGACCACCTTAAATTGGGTCACCTAGCTGGAAAGTGGAAATTCTTAAGCGCCTACTCTATTTGAGCTGCTCTTTAGTTGGGACATTGTTTAACAGGGGAGGGACATGATTGCAGATTGGGGTTGACTTCCTTCTCATGAGTCTTGTCCTTCGGCCTTAGAGAGCAATCATTTATTTGATCCATTTCATTGGTAAGGTACCTTAAGGTTTCTTGTTGCAGTTATTTTGAGGCACCATACTTGTGTAGTTGGCCCAGGTTTTTTATGACCTCATAATAGGTCTTTAAGGGTGATCATCTGGGGTGGGATGATCAGGCTTTGCTGAAATCCACACTAAGCATTTTTCTAGTTTTAACGTTTGATCCAAGTTATGGTAAGTTGCCAAGGAGAATGTTCAAAGTAGTTTCCTTCATGTGCTTGTTAAATTAAGGTGTCGACCATCTCTAAGGGTCCTCAAATTGGCATTGGAAGACTTAACTTCTTTCCCTTAAGGACTGGAAGAAAATGGAGATTAAATTAGAATTTACCATCTGATGAAAGGACTGCTTTATTAATTCTGTGCATAATCTCAGTATCTTAATTGCCAGTTCACGGTTCTATGTGATTGTTAAAGGGGGAATCTTCATCTCTGGTTGACTATGGACTTACGGATCCCCGTTTTGGTTACTGACACCCTTCCCTCAGCTGTAAACTTAGCAGTTGGCCTGTTTGTTGTACCCCTCATGCAGTCTATGAACAGTCCCTCTAAAGTCCCAGCACTTGTGTCCACATCTCTCCACCTAGAGCCTTTTTCCTGAACAGCTTCAACTGCCCCATAGCTAGTCACTACTTTGACTGCTTTTTATCCTACATAGCAGCTCATGGGTTGGGTTTTTAAATGACCTTGGCAATCAGATAATAGTGGAAACCCATTACCCTGACCTGTGAGATGCTGCGTCAAGCTTATCCAACCCATGGCCCAGGATGGCTTTGTGGCCCAATGTAAATTTGTAAACTTTCTTAAAACATTGAGGTTTTTGCAATTTTTTTTTTTAAAGCTGATAAGCTATCAGTGTATTTTGTGTGGCCCAAGACAATTCTTCCAAATGTGGGCCAGGAAAGCCAAAAGGTTGGACAGCCCTCAGCTATGTGAACTGGTCTTGGTTGACCTGTTATCTCCACATTTATAGATTTTGACCCCACTAGCCTTTTTTGTCCATCTCACCAAGCTGGTTGTTGCTTTGGGGCTTGTAGTAAGTTCTGGAATGCTGGTAACCAGATACTCTGTCAGATGTCATCTCGCAGCTGACTTGCACAGTACACATAACCTATTAGCTTGCAGTTTTTATGGCATTTGTTGGTCTTGCGTTAGAACACAAGCACCGTAAATGGCAGAGACTCGGCTGTTCACCTCTGTATCTGCCAGAATACTTAGTGAATGGAGGAGTAACTCTTTAGGCCAGTGCCAGGATCATTGCTGTCATCCCAGGACCTACCTTTGGTCACATACAAGTAGAAGAAGTCACAGTAGAAGATGGTTTGTACTACTCCAGAAACCACTGCGATTTGGTCATAGAAATTCTCAGTCTGGTACCGCCTGATCCAGTTAGCCAGGTAGAGTGCCCGGTACAGACCCAGAAAGAAGAGGTAGTGAGTAGTAATGGTCTCGGCCTCTCCAGTCTTGCTGATCATGAAGAGCTGGGGCAGAATAGCCACTGATTCCAGGTAGATAGAGAAAGTCCAGAGGATCTGAGCCAAAGAGAGCAGCCAGATACTGAACAAAACCTAGAAGGGGCCTATCTAAAATGTAATTTCAAAAACAATAGCTTGCTGGGGAACATACAGTAAGGGGGAAAAAGGTACTCAATGAATATTACATTTTAATCAGTGTAGCCTTCCATCTCTAGGTAAATAGAAGACTTTTCTTTATAATTTTTGAAATTATGCAGTGCACTGCTTTTTTAACAGTGTAGTATGAGCATTTCTTTAGAAAACTTTTTATTTTTTAAAGGCAAGGTCTTGCTCTGTCACCTAGGCTGGAGTGCAGTGGCATGATCACAGCTTGCTGCAGCCTGGACCTCCTGGGCTTAAGCAATCTTTCCATCTCACCTTCCCCAGGAGCTGGGACTACAGGCATGCAAAGCTGGCCAGAAACAATTTTTAAATGATAGTTTTATAGTATAAAATCATAACTGAAGCCACAGTTTCTTAAAATACAGTCATGTTGCCAGGTGTAGTGGCTCACCTGTAATCCCAGCACTTTGAGAGGCCAAGGCAGATGGATCACTTGAGGTCAGGAGTTGGACGCTAGCCTGGCCAACATGGTGAAACTACAAAAATTATCTGGGTGTGGTGGCTCACGCCTGTAGTCCCAGCTACTTGGGAGGTTGAGGCAGAAGAAGAATTGCCTGAACCCTGAAGTTACAGGTTGCAGTGAGCCAAGATCGAGCCACTGTACTCCAGGCTGGGCAACAGAGTGAGACTCCATCTCAGGAAAAAAAAAGCCTGGTGTGGTGGCATGTGTCTGTAGTCCCAACTACTCAGGAAGCCGAGACACAAGAATCACTTGAACCCAAGAGGAGGTTGCAATGAGCCGAGTTCATGCCACTGAACTCCATCCAGCCTAGTCCAGCCTAGGGGACAGAGCAAGACTCTGTATCAAAGAAAAAAAAGTCTTGTCCATAAACACCAGCATCAGAATCTCCCAAGATGCTTGTTGCCTGCAGATTCATGGGCCACAGTCTGGACTTAGTTAAAATTTCTGGGCCTGGACAGTGCTCCAGGTATCTGCTAATCACCTATTGAACAAAGGTCTCAACAGCCAGAAATAGGCTGTGATGCCTGCTTGGTTTATGGACATCATGACTATTTAGATGTGCCCATTTTCAAGTAAAGCGTCGTAAATAGCTTGTCAATTTCTTCTAAACTTAAAACTGCAGAATACAAGAGTCATGGTCACAGTTGTAAGCAGAAGGCAAGCCCAGGGTCTGCGCTTAATTCCCTTTGAGAATTGGTACTCAGTCTCTTCCTTACCTCTAGCGGAGTGAAACTGTAGTTCTCAAGGAAGGAAAGGCCAATGACTGGGACCAGAAGAAACTCCAGGCGGAATGTGTCATTCTCACTGTCAAAAGTTTTACGAAATTTCCCATATATCATGTACACTGTGACATAGGCACAGAGTAGAAAAACTACCTAAAAAGGGAGAGAGACATGGGAATCTATGAAGTCATTTCCCAGCCTATTTAGTAGGCTCCAAGCCTACCAAACCTAAGGACCAGCGTTCTGCCATAACGTAACATGAAGAGGTTAAATGTGTTTGCAATTTCTCTTGGGTCCAATGGCCTAGAATTTGAAGTTAATGACCCTTTCATTAAATAACTCCATGCTTGCTACCATGAAGAGTCAAAGGTACCCTGGTTGTCCCCTCCATTTGTGGAGCATTAGGCAAAACAGGATTGGTCTATATTTCAGGAGATTTACCAGTGGCATTCCAGGACTCTTGAAACAATTTTAAAACAATTCCTGGATATGCATCAGTGACTTCGGAGAATTCTTCCACAAGGACTAGTGTCTTTTTTCCTTTTCTTTTTGAGAAGGAGTTTCACTCTTGTTGCCCAGACTGGAGTGCAATGGCTTGATCTCGGCTCACTGGAACCTCCACCTCCTAGGTTCAAGTGATTCTCCTGTCTCAGCCTCCTGAGTAGCTGGGATTACAGGCATGTGCCACCACACCTGGCTAACTTTTGTATTTTTAGTAGAGACAGGGTTTCGCCATGTTAGCCAGGATGGTCTCAATCTCCTGACCTCATGATCTACCCGCCTCGGCCTCCCAAAGTGCTGGGATTACAGGCGTGAGCCTGACCTGAGACTTCATCTTTCTTTTCTTTTCTTTTTTGTTTTTTTTGAGAGTTTGTATTTCTAACAAGTTCCCAGGTGACGCTGATGCTGCCTGAACGGGACCACACTGGCCTAGAGCACTCCTATTTGTACTTGAAGACTGGAGCTGTTTCCTCAAGACAGTCTTTTTTCACTAAAATGAGGGGCACACTGTTGCCATAGCTCCGTATGTTCACTTTATCCCGTGATCGCATACTCTATAAATGTCTCTGTACAAGTCCGTCGCCTGCTCTTCAAGAGAGGACTCCATGGCAGGGTCTACCTCTTAATCTCCAGCTCCTAGCTCAGTGCCTGGCACAGAACAAATGAGTAAATGAGATGATCACTTTTTCGTTTGATAAATGTAAAAACTAGCCTCTTTGAGCTTCCCAGACCTCATTCAGCTGTGCCAAGGGCTGAGTCTGCTGTCTGCCAGGGATCCCCAAGGCTGACTTGGGCTGAGAAATGAACTTAAGCAGGTGATGTGTGATACATGTGTGAACTTAAGCAGATGGTGATTTCCAGTGCTCAGATTCAAGTTCACTAAATCTGAATGACTTCAACACCCCACAAGTAACAGCAGCCTCCATTCTACCAATGAGTAACAAGATGCCTGAAATCTCAAAGGGATGTGTCTGATATGGAGGAGAAAGACAACTCACTTGGTTAAATGTTTTCTGGGTGCTGTATGTTATCTCATGTAATTTTCTCAATAGCCCTGCAAGATAGAATTCCCCTCGTGGAACCCTTCTTCATTAGAAATAAGACTCCTAGGCTGGGCACAGTGGCTAACACCAGTAATCCCAGCACTTTGGGAGGCCGAGGTGGGAGGATCTCTTGAAGCCAAGAGTTCGAGACCAGCCTGGCCAACATGGCAGACCACTGGCTCTACTACAAATACAAAAATTGGCCAGGTGTGGTGGCTCATCACTGTAATCCCAACGCTTCGGGAGGCTGAAGTGGATAATCACGAGATCAGGAGTTTGAGACTAGCCCGACCAACATGGAGAAACCCCATCTCTACTACAAATACAAAAATCAACCAGGCGTGGTGGTTGTGTGCCTGTAATCCCAGCTACTTAGGAGGCTGAGGCAGGAGAATCGCTTGAAGCTGGGAGTCAGAGGCTGCCGTGAGCCAAGATCGCACCACTGCACTCCAACCTAATGACAGAGAGAGACGCCGTCTAAAAAAAAAAAAAGACTCCCAGCTGGGCATGGTAATTCAAGAACTTTGGGATTGGGAGTCTGACACAGGCAGATCGCTTGAGCCCAGGGATTTGAGACCAGCCTGGGCAACATGGCAAAGCCTTGTCTCTATGAAAAATACAAAAAACATAGCCAGGCATGGTGGTGTGTGCCTGTAGTCCCAGCTATTCAGGAGTCTGAGGTGGGAGGATCCCTTGAGTCCAGGAATTTGAGGCTGCAGTGAGCCATGATCGCACCACTGCACAAGAAATAAGATTCCTATTACATAATGTGCCCAACTAAAGTCTGCATTTCAGCTGGGCACAGTGGCTTTACACCTGTAATCCCAGCATTTTGGGAGGCTGAGGCAGGCAGACCACTTGAGGTCAGGAGTGAGGGACCAGCCTGACCAACATGGCAAAACCCCCGTCTCTACTAAAAATACAAAAATTAGCTGGATGTGCTGGCAGGTGCCTGTAGTCCCAGCTACTCAGGAGGCTGAGGCACAAGGCAAGCTCCCAGCTTGAACCCAGGAGGTGGAGATTGCAGTGGGCTAAGACCGCACCACTACACTACAGCCTGGGCAACAGAGTAAGACTCTGTCTTAAAAAAAAAAAAAAAAAAAGTGTGTCCTCTGATCTTCACATGGCTGGTTCCTTGTCGTCACTCATCTCTCAGCTTACAAGTCATCTCTTTGAAGAAGCCCTGACCACACTCCCTGAAGTAGCTCTCTAGTCCTCTATCACATACAGTTTTTTTTCTTGAGACAGTGCTCTGTTGCCCGGGCTGGAGTACAGTGACATGATCATGGCTCACTGCAGCCTCAATCTACCAGGATTGTCCCACCTCAGCCTCCTGAGTAGCTGGGACCACAGATGAACACCACCCCCAGCTACATTTTTGATAGAGGCAGGATCTCACCACATTGCCCAGGCGAGTCTCAGACTCCTGAACTCAAGTGGTCCTCTTGCCTCAGCCTCCCAAAGTGCTGGAATTACAGGTGTGACCCTTTATTGAATGTTTAATATATGGCAGTTTTTTTCACATTGATATTTTTTAAATTATTTATTTTTTAGACGGAGTTTTGCTCTTGTTGCCCAGGCTGGAGTGCAATGGTGTGATCTTGGCTCACTGCAACCTCTACCTCCCGGGCTCAAGCGATTCTCCTGCCTCAGCCTCTTGAGTAGCTGGGATTACAGGTGCCTGCCAGCATGCCCGGCTAATTTTTTTGTATTTTTAGTAGAGATGGGGTTTCTCCATGTTGATTAGGCTGGTCTCGAACTCCTGACCTCAGGTGATCCACCCTCCACAGCCTCCCAAAGTGCTAGGATTACAGGTGTGAACTACCACACCCAGCCTACATTCACATTTATTTATTTATTTATTTTTTGAGATGGAGTTTCGCTCTTGTTACCCAGACTGGAGTGCAATGGCACAATCTCGGCTCACTGCAACCTCCGCCTCCTGGGTTCAAGCAATTCTCCTGCTTCAGCCTCCCGAGTAGTTGGGACTACAGGCACGCACCACCATGCCCAGTTAATTTTTGTATTTTTAGTAGAGACGGGGTTTCACCTTGTTGACAAGGAGGGTCTCGATCTCTTGACATCGTGATCCACCTGCCTCGGCCTCCCAACGTGCTGGGATTACAGGCGTGATCCACCTGCCTTGGCCTCCCAACGTGCTGGGATTACAGGCGTGATCCACCTGCCTCGGCCTCCCAACGTGCTGGGATTACAGGCGTGAGCCACGTGCCCGGCCTCCCAAAGTGCTGGGATTACAGGCGTGAGCCACGTGCCCGGCCTCCCAAAGTGCTGGGATTACAGGCGTGAGCCACGTGCCCGGCCTCCCAAAGTGCTGGGATTACAGGCGTGAGCCACGTGCCCGGCCTCCCAAAGTGCTGGGATTACAGGCGTGAGCCACGTGCCGGGCCTCCCAAAGTGCTGGGATTACAGGCGTGAGCCACGTGCCCGGCCTCCCAAAGTGCTGGGATTACAGGCGTGAGCCACGTGCCCGGACTACATTTACATTTATTATCTCATTTAATGTTCCCAACCAGACGGTCTGAGCGAAGTACTGGTATTGTCCTCATTTTTACATGAGGACATTGACATGCAAACAGACCAGAGGCCTTGCCCAAGAGAGGTCTTGCAGCCACTAAGCAGCAAAGTCAGGATTTGAACCCAGGTTGGCCTGGCTCCACAGGCTGAATTTCCAAGCAGGCAACCTCACAGTTTGTGGGGGCTTGGTGACACCCCCCCAGCCCCCGCTGACCATCACCCGCTCCTCACCTTCATTACTGTGTTGTAGATAGAGATGAAATTGGTGAACAGGTCCAGGTACCTGGTGGTGAAGACAAGAGCAAACAGGATCTGGCTCTTCCCAGAGATGCCTGTGACCAAGGGGAGACAAGAGACAATGAGGACACAGACCTCCAAGCCTGCCCACCCTCAAGAAAGTGCACAGCCTGCAGCTGGGGAAGCCTCCAGAGTGTCCATTCCCACTCAGCGAAGACCTCCTGTCCCAGGCACGGTCACTCCCTAAGGGCTAGGAAGCTCACCATTCCCATCAGATCACTTGAGTCATTGTTCCTCTCATTAAGCTGTAATCTGGCTCCCAGTCTCCAAATAAAGACACGAACACCAAGTTCCCAGTCCCCCTGCGTGTGCCTGCCTGGGCTCTTGCTCTGGGGAGGATGTCGGGGGTGGTGTGAGTCGGGCTTGGTGGGGGCTGTTGAGGCTCTCTTCACTCCACCCCCAGAGTTCCACTGACAAGGCCCGAAGCTCAGTCTTAGGGAAAACAACTGACTGACTTTACAAGGTGTTGATTCACCCACCAAAGAGACCGGAGCAGGCAGAGGAAGCCTCAGGGCTGGGGAGGGCATCCATTTTATTTTTCAAACTGTAAGATTTAAAAAGCCTTTTTTCTTTTTCTTTTGAGACAGAGTCTTACTCTGTCACCCAGGCTGAACTGCAGTGGCATGATCTCAGCTCACCACAACCTCCGCCTCCCAGGCTCAAGTGATTCTCCTGCCTCAGCCTCCTGAGTAGCTGGGATTATAGGCACCTGCCCCCATGCCTGGCTAATTTTTGAATTTTTAGTAGAGTTGGGGTTTTGCCAGATTGGCCATGGCTGGTCTTGAACTCCTGACCCCAGGTCATCTGCCTGCCTTGGCCTCCCAAAGTGCTGGGATTACAGGCATGACCCTGTAATGCACCCAGTCAAAAATCCTTTTTTCTAGTTATAAAATTTATGCCTAAATTTACTCTTTGCAATACAAAAATCAGACAATATATAAAGATGCAAAGACAAAAATATCCCCAAAGCTCCAGCGTTCCTCCTTCCAGATCTTCGTGAACATGTACACACATGACATCTATGTGTACACACATGACATCTATGTACACACCTGGCGCACATGGATGCATTGAGGGGACAAAAATGGGTTCAAACTCGCCATGCTGCTTCTTTTTTATTTTTTCTTTTTAGAGAGCCGGTCTTACTCTGTCTCCCAGGCTGGGGTCCAATCATAGCTCACTGCAGCCTCGATCCCCTGGACTCAAACAGTCCTCCTACCTCAGCCTCCCGAGCAGCTGGGAACTACAGACACAAACCATCAACCCGGCTTTTTTTTTTTTTTTGTAGAGACGGAGTCTCACTATGTTGCCCAGCCTGGTCTCAAACTCCTGAGCCCAAGTGATCCTCCTACCTTGTTCGCTCAGAGTTGGGATTATAGGTGTGAGCCACTGCGCCCAGCCTCCATGCTGGTTCTTGACCTGCTTTGGTCTTTCTTTTCTTAACTTTTTATTTTGAAAGAACGTTAGATTTACAGCAGAGTTGTAAAGACAGTATGAAGAGCGCCCATATATCCAGCTTCCTCTAATGTTAACATTGATTTAAGGAGAGTCCTCTATCAAAACAAAGAAACTGACATCAGTGGAGCCCTGTTGCCTGAACTCCAGGCTTTATTCTGATTTCACCAGTTTTCCCACAGCTGCCCTTTTTCCATTCCTGAATTCCATCCAGGAATCCGTGGTGCACTTTGTTGTCATGCTCCTTACTGTCCTTTGGCCACTTTTTTTTGAGACAGAATCTCACTCCATCACCCAGGCTGGAGTGCAGTGGCGCAATCTCAGCTCACTTCAACCTCTACCTCCCAGGTTCAAGTGAGTCTCCTGTCTCAGCCTCTGGAGTAGCTGGGACTACAGGCACATGCCACCATGCCCGGCTAATTTTTGCGTTTTTAGTAGAGATGGGTTTTCACCTTGTTGGCCAGGCTGGTCTAGAACTCCTGACCTCAAGTGATCTGCCTGCCTCAGCCTCCCAAAGTGCTGGGATTTCAGGTGTCAGCCACCGTGCCCAGCAAGTAGTCTTGGTTATCAGCTGGAAGAAACAGTATATCTAGGATTTGGTTTAACCTGTGGTTTCAGGCATCCACTGGTGGTCTTGGAACTTACCCTGTATGGAAGAGGGGAACTACTGTGCTGTCTGATTCAGGGTCTGTTCCACTGTACCCTCTGAACTGTGTCTTCCCTAACCACTTCCCTGGTTCCAGACATTTGAGGATGGGAGAACTCTTTTTTAAATTTTTTTGTGAGACAGGGTCTCTGTCACCCAGGCTGGAGTGCAGAGACACGATCACAGATCACTGCAGTCTCAACCTCCCCAGGCTCAGGTGATCCTCCAACCTCAGCATCCTGAGTAGCTGGGACTACCGGCACATGCCACCACAATCAGCTCATTTTCATATTTTTTCTGGAGACAAGGTTTCGCTGTGTTGCCCAGGCTGGTCTCAAATTCCTAGGCTCAAGTGATCCTTCTGCCTCGGCCTCCCGAAGTGCTGGGATTACAGGCATGAGCCACTGCACTCATCCTGGGGGAACATTTTTAATGAGCAAGGAGGAACATCCCTGAAGTCCCTACCATTCTGGAGAACGTGCTGGCCTTAGGGTGAGCCTGGGTCTCACAATTCCTCACCTGCCAAATGGCCCTCATGAAGAGTAGCAGGACTGAAGTGAGGAATACATTGGGATCAGTGAGAACCTGAGTCCCTCCTTGGGGTCTGGCACGAGCGCACTTGCACTTGCTGGGGTGAACGTGAGAGTGGGGCTGGTAATAGGTAATGAACCCCACTGGGGGCGGCCATACTGACCTGAGGCCAGCTCTGGGATGGACTGATGTTCCTCTCACTGAGCCCTCAAACAGACTTTGCCAGAGAAGCCTTCAGCCACACGTAGGATGGTCTGGGAGGTGGCCCTGGTCGGGGATGTCTGGCCACCCACTGGGCTTTCCCCTGTTCCTCTCTTCTCTTCATCCTCAGCCTGCCAGACCCCCAGGTTTCACTCACATTTTCTTTAGCACTTTGGGAACCCTGGTGGTTTTCTTTTTTTTTTTTTTGAGTCTCGCTTTGTGGCCAGGCTGGAGTGCAGTGGCTCCATCTCAGCCCACTGAGATCTCTGCCTCCCAGGTTCAAGCAATTCTCCTGCCTCAGCCTCCCAAGTAGCTGTGACTCCAGACACTTGTCACCATGCCCAGCTGATTTTTTATTTTTAGTAGAGATGGGGTGTCACCATGTTGGCCAGGATGGTCTTGATCTCTTGACCTTGTAAACTGCCTGCCTCGGTCTCCCAGAGTACTGGGATTACAGGTGTGAGACACTGCACCTGGCTTTTTTTTTTTTTTTTGAGACAGAGTTTTGCTCTTGTTGCCCAGGCTAGAGTGCAATGGCAAGATCTTGGCTCACTGCAACCTCTGCCTCCCAGGTTTAAGTGATTCTCCTGCCTCAACTCCTCGAATAGCTGGGATTATAGGCACCTGCCGCCACACTCAGCTAATTATTTTTGTATTTTCAATAGAGGCAGTGTTTCACCATGTTGGTCAGGCTAGTCTTGAACTCCTGACTTCAGGTAATCCACCCATCTCAGCCTCCAAAAGTACTGGGATTACAGGCATGAGCCGCCATGCCCAGCCCTCTGCTGATTTTGAGCACAATTGCTTTTATACTTTTGAAAACAATGAATCATTTTCACCAAAGGAAGCTGCACATGGAGACCCAGGACACAGAGGACAATGTGAGCCTGGACTGGTCAGAGTCCCTGCGAGGTTCACTGAGCACAGGGGGGCCCCACTGCCAGGGACAGTCCTCACTCCCACTTGACAAATGGGAAAACAGAGGCCCAGGGTCACACAGAGAGTCAAGGGAGGAGCAAGAGTGAAGCCCAAGTCTCTGGCCTTTGGGGCTGGGTCTGCTGAGGTCACCCCAGGCCCTGCATCCATCCAGGCACCTCACCTGTGACTTCTCTCTGCGCACACACAGGCCCATCCCTGCCACCCAGCTGCCCTTTTCCTGTTCCCATAGTACCCACTATGGCCTCTAACAAACCATGTCATTTGCTCAGTTTCCTGACTATTGTTTATTGGTGATTTCCTACCACTAGAAAGTCAGCTCCACCACTCGGCCGGGTGCGGTGGCTCACACCTGTAACTGGAGCCCAGGAGTTTGAGAGCAGCCTGGCTAATATGGAGAAACCCCATCTCTACTAAAAATAGAAAAATTGGCTGAGTGTGGTGGTGGGCGTTTGTAATCCCAGCTACTCGGGAGGCTGAGGCAGGAGAATAGCTTGAACCCAGGATGTGGAGGTTTCAGTGAGTTGAGATTGTGCCACAGCACTCTAGCCTAGGGGATAGAGCAAACCTCTGTTGAAAGAAAGAATGAGAGAAAGAGAGAAAGGAAGGAAGAAAGGAAGGAAAGGAAGGAAGAAAGAGAAAGAAAGAAAAAAAGAAAGAAAGAAAGAAAGAAAGAAAGAAAGAAAGAAAGAAAGAAAAGAAAGAAAGAGAAAAAAGAAAGAAAGAAAGAAAGTTGGGCACAGTGGCTCACACCTGTATTTTCAGCACTTTTGGGAGGTCTAGGCAGGCGAATCACTTGAGGCCAGGAGTTTGAGACCAGCCTGGCCAACATAGTGAAACCCTGTATCTACTAAAAATCTAAAAATCAGCTGAGTGTGATGGCACACACCTGTAGTCCCAGCTAGCTGGAGGCTCAGGCAGGAGAATGGCTTGACCCAGGGAGGCGGAGGTTGCAGTGAGCCAAGGTCATGCCACAGCACTTCAGCTTTGCGGACAAAGTGAAACTCTGTCTCAAAAAAAAAAAAAAAAGCTCCACCGGGGCTGGGCCTCTGCCGTCCGGCCTGCATTCCAGGTGCCCAGCAGTGTTTGGTAGACAGCAGGCCAGGTAACAGCATCCCTTCTTTTTTTTTAACACTCTCGCTCTGTTGCCCAGGCTGGAGTGCAATGGCGCGATCTCTGCTCACTGCAACCTCTGCCTCCTGGGTTCAAGTGATTCTCCTGCCTCAGCCTCCCAAGTAGCTGGGATTACAGGCACACGACACCACGCCCGGTTAATTTTTGTATTTTTAGTAGAGAGGAGGTATTATCATGTTGGTCAGGCTAGTCTCAAACTCCTGACCTTGTGATCCGCCCGCCTTGGCCTCCCACAGTGGTGGGATTACAGACGTGAGCCACTGCGTCTGGCCCAACAGTGTTCCCTCTTGGTCATGGTTGCTCATTCTGTTCAGGGCCTTCTGCAAAAGTGCAGGGACAGGTTGGAGCCGATTCTCCCCTGATTGGGACCTGCTGCTCCCAATTCCCCCACCCAGCATTCCTGGCCACCTTCCCTGAGGAAGAAACTGAAGAGACACACAACCTATCTCTCCAGAGACCCCAAACCCAAACCGCCTCCAGGCCTAGAACCACTCCCTCCGCTTGACCCCACCCTGCCAAGCCTGCCCCTGCTGGCTTCTCTCCCAAAGCTTCCAAAGCGCCCTGCTTCAGGCCCCTTCCAGTCCCCTCCCCTGCTCCCAAACCGTGATGGGCTCCCCAGTCCCAGCTCCCTGGTCTGACAGAAAAAGCCCCTTCACATCTGGACTACCCTCCCTCCTGAGCTCATCTCCCTCCAGACCACCCCGAATCTCGCTGCCCCCCCTTCCCGGGGCATGCCCCGTGCTTGGTGACCTCTGTGCCTCCGCGTCCCCAGAGCCCCCCCCCACAGCACACGCTTCCTGGGTTGACACCTGCCCATCCTCCAGGACCAGCCCCGACCTGCTCCTTGCAGGGAGCCCACTCTCTGCCTCCTCAGCCCCCCAGGAGCCTGAGCTCATCCCTGCATCCGCACACCCAGTGCCAGGTACAGGGTGGGCACCACCAGGACACCGGTGGACAAAGATGGCTGCGGGAGGTGCTGGCCGCTTTTGGTGGCTCTGGATCTGTTTGGTGATCAGGAGTCCCAGCCTCAAAGCTTCTCCAAACCCCCTGCAGGGCAGCCAGAACCCAAACAGGGCTCCTCCAGCCCTCCCCGGGCTTCCGTTCAGCAGCAGCTCCACGCCCACCTAAGCCCGGTTGGTGCCCTCCTGCCACATCACAGCCACCGGTGCCACACCTGCTGTCCTGCTGGCCGGGGAGGGATGAGGGCTCAGCTTGGGGGGTGGGGTGGGGTCTGGGAAGGGGCAGGGAAGAGAAGACCTTGAGAACCAGGGACGCTTCCTGTGTGCACACCCCTTTCTCCCCGCAAGTGAGAGTGGAGGGAACAATGGGTGTAACTGGGGGGAGGGAGGGGTCTTCACCTCCCTCATGTCCCCCCTCTTCCAGCCAGCAGTGACACTGCCAAAATGAGGGAGCGCCAGTGCAGGAACAAACCCACCCTCCTCCCATCATTCCAAGGGGTCCTCCTTTGATTTTATACAACTTTACATTGTTTCTGGAAGTGGAGCTCTGCAAAGTTTCAAGGACCCCCCACCCTGAGCAGAGCCGGTGGAGCGCCCTGCCTGGCACCCAGGGGCATGAGGCTGGCCGGAGAGGGGGTCCCGCACCTCCCTGCCCGGCGCCCCTCACCCGTGCAGCACTTGGACCTCCAGATCTTCCCCAGCAGCAAGATCATGGCCAGGAGGTGGCTCAGGTCGCCGAGGATTCGGAACACGTTCATGGTCCGGCCCGTCGGTCGTACGCCCGCGCCCAACAAACTTCAAGGAAACTTTCTGGCGGGCGGGGCGGCTGCCACGTCCCTGGCCCCGGTCTCTCGGTGCCCCAGGGCCTGGCCTGCGCCTCCCAGCTCCGCGCTCGCACCCGCCGCGCCGCCGCCCGCGCACTCTTGGCCGGGCGGTGACGTGGCCAGGGCGGCAGCCGGCGCAGGGTGGGGAGCCAGGAAGCTGCGCGGCCTGGAGATCCCGCCTCTCGCCCATCCCAGCGCCAGGCTCCTGGGCGGGGCGGCCAGGCCCGGCGACGTGGGTGGGGGGGCTTCTGGTCTGCGCCCGGCTGCCGCTATGCGCCGGGTGCCCGCCACGACCCATGCCGCCCGCCGCGACCCATGCCACCTACGCCCCAAGTGTCCGGGGCCTTCCCTCCGCAGAAACCGGAGGCCTGCCACCGAGCTCCTGCCTCTGCCTCAGTTTCCTCATCTGTACACAGGCCCCATAACACTGGTGCCAGCGCTTGGCAGGAGCCAGCACGTGGAAGCACCTTGTAGGGTGACCCCCTGCTATTGTCCTCATTCTCCCTGAGCTGCAGCTCCCTCCTTGGGAGGGTGGGGTGGGGGGAAGAGCCAGAAGCAGACTCCCCGTCTCTGCCTGTTAACTTGGATGTCCACACCGTGGGAACCTGACCTTGCTGCAGGTGGACAATGGTAATGGCACCACTCAGCCGTGGAATCAGACTGACCTGGGCTGCAGCCTGAGTCCCAATTTTCTCACCTGTAAAATGGGGTTGCTGTGAGTGGGGAAAAGGTCAAGTCGGTCAGGGAGATCCAGGGCCCTGGTTCGCGCCTCCCTCTTCTTGGTGTTCTAGGATGTTACACAGGGACACACAGGCCAGCAGAGACCCTGGAGGGCTGAGCAGTAGGAAGCGTGGGGAGTGAAGGGCCCCTGGTGGGAGGGAGAACTTCCAGAGCTGTGTGGCCTGAGCAGGCCTGCCACCCTCTCTGGGCATCAGTCTCTGCATCTGAAAGAGTGGATGAGCTGAGCTGAGAGCCCTTACCCTCTCCTCTTTGACCTGAGTAAGCCCTCCTTCCACTCAGGGCCCTCATCTCTCTCTAAATAACTGACCTACTCCCACTCCCACCTCCTGCCACAGATAACCAGAGAGGCTTTTCCATGATACATGTTTTTAAATAGAGATGGCATCTCACTATGTTGCCCAGGCTAGTCTTGAACTCTTGTACTCAAGTCATCTGCCTGCCAAAGCCTTCTAAAGTGCTGGAATTACAGGCATAAGTCACCATGGCCAGCTCTTTTTCTGTGATAAAAACCCTTCTATGGTCCACTAAGCCCCTTTAACTCCCAGAGAAAGGCAGTCCTTTTTTTTTTTTTGAGACAGAGCCTTGCTCTATTGCCCAGGCTGGAGTGCAGTGGCGCAATCTTGGCTCACTGCAATCCCTGCCTCCTGGGTTCAAGCAATTGTCTGTCCTACTTCAGTCTCCCGAGTGGCTGGGATTACAGGTGCCCGCCACCATGCCAGGCTAAGTTTTGTATTTTTAGTAGAGACAGGGTTTCACCATGTTGGCCAGGCTGTTCTCGAACTCCTGACCTCAGGTGATTCATCCGCCTTGGCCTCCCAACGTGCTGGGATTACAGGCATGAGCAATCACGCCTGGCTGAGGCAGTCCTTTGAGACCCCGAATGCAGTCCAAAGGCCAGAAGCATTGCTACTGCTCGTTGGGAAGGCAGAATTGTAGCCCCTCCGCAGGCATTCCCGGGGTGAATCAGACTCTGATGTGCACACGAATCCTCTGGGATTCCCAAGGCACTAAACAACACTGTGAGGAAGCCCTGGCCTCACTCTCAGGTTACCACAAGGAAATAGAGGCGGGAGGCTCAATACTTTGCGTGAGGTCACACAGACACTAAGTAGACCTGGAGCCCAGATTCCAACACACAGTCTGCTGTGAAATCATCACCTTAAACTGTGGGTTACCATGGGAGGTGGTGAGCTCCCTATTCCGAGAGGTGGGTGAGCAGGGGGTGGGAGCTCATTTGTCAAAGATTCAGCAGCAGGGCCTCCTGCCCTGGCGGGGAGGTGGTGATCACAGTAGCCATCAAGCATTGAGCTTCTGGGTGCCAGCCAGGCATGTTACTCAGGTTCTTTCCATCAACAGCCACGTGGTTCAGAGGCCTTCAGAGGCCTTCAGAGTCCCGCTTTGCAGGGGATGGACCTCCAGGTTGGCGGGAGGGGGGGATGCGTGGAGCAGATCCCTCTGGGAGGAGGAGCCAGGCGCTCATCCCAGGACTGCAGCAGGTTCCAAAGGGCCCTTCGGTTCCCCACTCCCCTCCAACCCTGTCCAGATGCCTCCCCCTCAGCTGGTGCCCAGAGAAGGTGGCAGCTATTTAGATCCCTCAGGTGTGGCTGCGATTCTTGCTATGCAACCAGCTGGCATTTCCTTCCCAGCGCCCACCTCCTCCCCAAGCCAGGGAAAAGCACGTGCATGTGCCATTTGGCAAAAACATCTGTCCTCCTGGATAGCAGCCGCCACTGTGTGTGTTGCAGGGGGTGGGGCTTCAATCCTTCCCTTCCCTTTATTTCCTCAAGACCACAGGAAAACTGGCCAAGGCCAGGGACTATCGGAGGAGGGGGTGTGGTGCTGGAGGGGAAGGAACCCAAACTGGATGGCTCCAGGGCCTGGACCTTGTCCCAGGTCTGCCACTGTGGCTTTGAGCCTGCCACATCCCCTCTCTGGGCCTCAGCTTTCTCATCTGCTAAATGGGAAAAATAAAGATAGAAGTGGGCCAGTCATGGTGGTTCACACCTGTAATCCCAGCACTTTGGGAGGCAGAGGCAGGGGGATCACTTGAGGCCAGGAGTACAAGACCAGTGTAGGCAACACAGCAAGACCCTAGTCTCTACCAAAAAAAATTTTTAAATGGCTGAGCGTGGTGGTTCACGCCTGTAATCCCAGCACTTTGGGAGGCTGAGGCCGGCTGATCATGAGGTCAGGAGTTCAAGACCAGACTGGCCAACATGGTGAAACTCCATCTCTACTTAAAAATACAAAAATTAGCTGGGCATGGTGCCTGTAATCCTAACTACTTGGGAGTCTGAGATAGGAGAATTGCTTGAACCAGGACCCGGGAGGCAGAGGTTGCAGTGAGCTGAGATCGTGCCACCGCACTCCAGCCTGGGATACAGAGCAAGAAGCCATCTCAGACAAAAAAAAAAAAAAAAAAAAAAAGTGTATCTAATCTCTCTGCCTAACTCTCTTTTTGCTGATCCTATCCTTTTGTTCCATTTCACCACTGTTTGGAATACCCTGCAAAGTGTCTCCAATTCTGTGTGGAAGGAAATAGGGGTGTAAAGTGAAAATCACTCCACTGAGTGATTAACAAAAATCAGCCGGGTTTAGTGGCAGGTGCCTGCAATCCCAGCTACTCACGAGGCTGAGGCAGAAGAATTGCTTGAACCCAGGAGGCGAGACAGAGGCTGCAATGAGCCGAAATGGTACTACTGCACTCCAACCTGGGTGACAGAGTGAGACTCAGTTGGGGGGGAAAAAAATATATATATATATATATTTATAAAAATATATAAATTTATAAATATAAATAAATAAATATATATAAAATGGGCCAGGCGTGGTGGCTCAAACCTGTAATCACAGCACTTTGGGAGGCCGAGGTGGGTGGATCACGAGGTCAACAGATCGAGACCATCCTGGTCAACGTGGTGATACCCTGTCTCTACTAAAAATACAAAAAATTAGCAGGGCGTGGTGGCACTCGCCTGTAGTCCCAGCTACTCAGGAGGCTGAGGCAGGAGAATCGCTTGAACCCAGGAGGCGGAGGTTGCAGTGAGCCGGAGACTCCAGCTCCAAATAATTATAATAAGAATACATAAATAAATAAATAAATAAATAAATAATAAAAATAAAGAATGGTACAAGTACAATGCACTGGGGGAGCAGGCCATGTCTTATCTCCAAGACTGTGCAATTAGCACCTTCTCCTGGGAACTCTCCACTCTTCCCCCAGCTTTTGTCTCCGAGGCAAGCTCCTACTCAGCCTCCAAAGCCCCTTTGGGCATCACTCCCTGTAAAGCCTTCCTTAACAGCAGTCCTCCAAGGGATTCCCTCCAGTTGAGGGTGATTGCCGTCTCTGTTTCTCCTCCGTGCGGTCCCGTCCCTGCACAGGCACCCGCCCCCCACAGCACCAGAAAGTTTCCAGGTTCGGGTTGAACGCTGCACCTACGTTCAACCCGCAAGGTACCTGGTGCCAAGCTGGTCTTCAGTAAATGTGCTTGGAACTAAAATGGGAAGACAGGTTTTGAGCCTTGGTGTTTAGAACCTCCGCGTCTCAGTAAAATGCGACCCGAGCTGCCCCTGCCTCCTGTCACTCAAGATATTGAGCTGGGGAAAGAGTTCCCCAAACACCTGGGGGTGGAACTGCAGGGAGAGGAAGGATGGACCCACCCAGCGCTCGGTTAGGAAAAAGAGTCGTCGGTGCCTCCCGGCGGGCAAGACCTCAGGGGCTGCCTGGGAAGAGGGCCATTCCTTCCACAGGGGAGCGTCACTCGCCTAGGCCAGAGGAAGACTGACTTGGTGCTCTCGAGGAAGCTCTAGGAAGCCCGGGACAGAGCTTTCCTTCCAGGCCCCTGCCCGGTGACATCGGATTAAGTGGAATGATTTTCTTTCTTTTTTTATTTTGAGACTGAGTTTCCCTCTTATTGCCCAGGCTGCAGTGCAATGGTGCGATCTCTACTCACCACAACCTCCACCTCCTGGGTTCAAGCAATTCTCCTGCCTCAGTCTCCCAAGTAGCTGGGTTACAGGCATGCACCACCATACCCAGTGAATTTTGTATTTTTAGTAGAGACTGGGTTTCTCCATGCTGGTCAGGCTGGTCTCGAACCCGTAACCTCAGGTGATCCACCCGCCTCGGCCTCCCAAAGTGCTGGGATTACAATCGTGAGCCACCACGCCCGGTCTGTGTCATTCTTTCAGAGACCAACGAAGGGAAGAAGGAAAAGATGAGCATCGAGGTTAGACGGTTGAGTTAGACCCTCAAACCCCACCACGTGGTTAATCTCTCCAAGTTATAGTGTCTACATTGTTAACCCGGGTATAAACCAAGTACTGACTTCATGCAATAATTATCTGGGTTAAAGTTAGCTAAGTATCTAAAGCGTTTTTGCAAGATGTAAACCATGCAATGCATGTCACCTCAGCTCCTTGGTTCCCTTCACAGGCAACTGAGGCCCAAAGAGGGTCTGCCAGAGCAGAGAGGGGCAAAAGCACACAACTCCAGGGTTTAGGATGGTGACCTCCCCCTCACTGGTTTATTCCTGGAGATGTGAGACTTCTAGGACCTGGAAGTCTTCATGTCTTGATCACCATAGTGGTAACACGGGTTTTATAAGTAGGTATGAAAAATTGATCAAGCTGTACCTTTTTTTTTTTTTTTGGTGAGACAGATTCTTGCTCTGTCACCCAGCCTGGAGTGCAGTGGCATGATCTCAGTTCACTGCAACCTCAACCTCCTGGGTTCAAGTGATTCCCCTGCCTCAGGCTCCCGAGTAGCTGTGATTACAGGTGCACACTACCATGCCCAGCTAATTTTTTTGTATTTTTAGTAGAGACAGGGTTTCACCATATTGGCCAGGCTGGTCTAGAACACCTAACTTCGTGATCCATCCGCCTTGGCCTCCCAAAGTGCTGGGATTATAGGCGTGAGTCACTGCGCCTGGTCTTCTTCTTTTTATTTATTTTTATTTTTTCTAGCACTGTGTGTGTGTTTTTTTTTTTCTTTTAATTTTTTTAAAAGGCAGAGTCTTGCTTTGTTGCTCAGGCTGGAGGAGGAGTGCAGTGACAGTAATCACTGCTCCCTGCAGCCTCGAACTCCTGGGCTCAAGCCATCCTCCCGCCTCAGCCTCCCAAGTAGCTGGGGCTACAGGTGCATGCCACTACACTGTTATTTTTTTCTAAGAGACAGGCTGTCGCTACGTTGCCCAGGCTGGTCTCGAACTCTTGGACTCAAGGGAGCCTCCCGCCTTGACCTCCCAAAGTGCCGGATTACAGGCTTGCGCCAACGCGCTCCACAGAGCTGTACTCTTAAGATGTACGTTGTACTGTTTGTAAGTTACACCTCAATTAAAAAGAAAGCATAATAACCCGGGCCGCGACGCCCCCGCCCCTCGCCGCTGGCGACAGGTGTCTTTCGGTGACCAAAACGCGACTCTTCGCGCGTGGAGTCGTGCGCCGCGCGGAGGCCCTGGCGAGGTTCCTACGGCAACCGCAAGCCGCCCGCAGAGTCTCCAGAGTGACGAGGCGCGAACGAAGACCCGGAGCCCGGATTTAGGAGCCACAGAGTGAGGCTGGAGAGAGACAGCGGTTGGCCGCAAAAGATGGGGAGCCGCTGGGCCACCCTTAGTCCTTGCGCTGGCATTCCGAGGACATCTGGCAAACCACTCCCCAGCCCTGACGGTGGCCACAAGCCTACTTGAAAACACCCCTAGGGATTCATTCTCAGCTTTCCAGGTGGGAAGATGGAGGGCCTAGCTGCCCCCGCCAGTAACTCTGGGCTCATCAGGGGCAGAGCTGGGCCCTGCACCCGGTGGCTTCCTTCCAAGCTCATACAGTGGAGTGCAAAGCACTGGGGCTGGGAGCTGGCACCCGTTGGGTTCTGGGTCCAGCTCTACTAGTAACTTACTGTGTGGTCGTGGAGTCTTCTCTCCTCTCTGAGACTCAGACATGGGGACACCTCCATCAGAGTAGCTGTTACCAAGTGTGTGAAATAATGGAGTATAAAAGCGGCTCACCAGCTGGAAAGTGCTTTGCACATGCCACAGACCATCACAATTGCCACCCAATTGCCATCTTGTCCTCTTTATCACCCCAGCCCCTGGGGCTCAGAACTCTCCATGCCCAGAGGTTTCAAGTCTGCAGGTGAGAGTCCACTCCACTTTCCCCTTCAAGAAGTGGGTTTGGGCAGTTCTCCTGAGCACCGGGCATCATCATCTGGTCCCCAGACTTAAAGGGCTTCGCAGAGACACAGCCCTCCATCCACCTGCCCACCACCTCCTCCTTACCCTCTGCCCTGTGGTTGGATTGTAGTTCTCCATTTAGTGAGGATATCTGGAAACCCTGAGACACAGCACCCCGGACAGAGCCTACCGGGTAACATCACTGACTGCCCTTTAGATGCCACATGCTGGGTTTGTGTTGGGACAGTTGTATCTGTGAATATGTGTGTCCATGTGCCAGGAGGGTGTGTGTGTGTGTCCGTGTGCCTGGCATGCGTATATTGGTGTACGTGTGTATTTGGGATGGATTGTGACTACATGGATGTAAAAACATGTATTCATGGCTTCATGGCATTTGTTGGCAGGTGGATGTGTACTTGTGACACATGTTTACCCGTGCATCTAATGTCTTTGCTGATGTGTGCGTGCCCCTCGGTGGGCATGCGTGGGATTGTACTTGTGGTGTGCACAAGTGGATGTAGAGAACTAGGAGAACCTGTGATCGTGTATGTGTGGGAGTGTGCTGAGGGGTCCTGGGTGTGGGGGCTTTTTCTCCCCCATCTCCTATCACCTGAGTGACCTTCTTCCCCAGCTGAGGACTGTGGCTGAGGTCACAGGCACGCATGGGACAGCTCCTGCCCTTCCATAGACCTGTGTCTTGGGCCAGAGTGGGCACCAGGGGCCAGGGTGGGTGGGTGAACCTGGGGCGAGGACTCATGTGCCACCCCCTCCCTGCCTGGTCTCCTCCCCTCCCCACAGCAGGAGCAGCAGCGGGAAAGGTTGGCGGAGGGGGGCTATTTTGGGAGCGTCTCCTTAGCAACAGCTGCCACGGCCGTCTGTGGCGGTTTTTCTATAGGTGCTAAAATATTCCACCCTGGTGACTACTGAGTGCTGGGGGGTGGGCGAGGGTGGAGGTGGAGGGCAGGAGAGACCCCTACAGTCCTCTGTCCCCAGGGCACAGCCTGCTGGGATGGATTCTGGTCCTCTGCCCTCCCAGTGACCCTTTAATTGCCTCTGGACCTTACCACCTGGGAGCTGCTGGGATTTTAGAGCTCCAAGGGTGTGTCCTGATCTGATTTCTAATCTAAGCAGTTGGACTTCCTCAGTTTGCCTCATCTGCAGAATGGGCTGGCTGGACTTTTTTCTTTTTTTGAGACAGAATCTTGCTCTGTAGCCCAGGCTGGAGCACAGTGGCAAGATCTTGGCGCACTGCAACGTCCACCTCCTCCCAGGTTCAAGTGATTCTCCTGCCTCAGCCTCTGAGTAGCTGGGATTACAGGTGTGCGCCACAATGTCTGGCTAATTTTTGTATTTTTAGTAGAGACAGGTTTTCACCATGTTAGCCAGGCTGGCCTCAAATTCCTGGCCGCAAGCGATAAGTGATCTGCCCACCTCCGCCTCCCAAAGTGCTGGGATTACAGGCATGAGCCACCACACCCAGCCCTGGCTGGACTTTAAGACACTCTCTAGGCCAAAAACCTCTGGACTCTGTGACTCTAGCATTTTGAAGTGGCCTTTTCCTTTTCCTCCTCAGCTGTCCACCTGCCAGTCCCAAGTCGCCCTCCCTTCCGCTCCTCTCCGCCCTCCACATGGGCTCTCAGGGCTGCTGTCGGACCCAGGAGGCATGAGAAGTCCCCCAGAGTGAGCTGGTTGGTGAGTACTCTGCTAGCCTGGAATGACCTTTCCCCTAGAAAGTGAGAGCTGAGCCTGGTTCAAATCCTGGCCCAGACAGCTGCTTACTGCCTGATTGACCCCAGACAAGCCCTTCCCCTCTCTGAGTGTTAGTTCAGGGTCCTCACCTGTGGGGTAAAGACACGCATAGCCCAAACCCCATAGAGCTCTTGTGAGGATCAAGGGAGAGAACAGAGAGGAGATGGGCAGGACGCATTGCCAAAGTGTATGGACGGACAGAGGCTTCACCAGCATTCCCCTCCAAACTTCAGAGTGAGCCTCTCTTCTCCAGACCATTGCTTCCAGCCACCCCAATCATGCCACCCATCCCATGACTCCCCATGCCTCAGTTACCCCATTGGTAGTAGGTGCCTGTAGCACAGCATTCTTGCAAGAATGAAAGGAGACAATGCCTGTCAATGTCTGGATAGTGCTGAGCTGGGGGCATGAGAGAGGGAGATTCAGGTTGTCCTCACTCCATGGCGGGGAGACGAATCTGTGCTGGATCTTGACAAGGCCCATTGGGAGACCCAGTCCACACTGTCCCATTACAGATGAGGCCTCTGAGGTCCAGAGAGGACATGAATCTTTCCCAGGGACACACAGGTTCTGACATCCATGCCTTTCCCCAACCCCCTCACATTCCTCCCAGGCCTCTGCATGCCCATTTCCATCTCCACCCCCCACCTCACACAGGGCTAGAAGCTACTCTCACATAAGGTGAACAATGTGGAGTCTTCCTTTAGTCTCTGATTATCCTCAAAACAGCTGCTCCACCAGGTCCAGTGGCTCACACCTGTAATCCTAGCACTTTGGGAGGCCAAAGGCAGGCGGATTGCTTGAGCTCAAGAGTTTGAGACCACCCTGGACAACATAACAAAACCCTATCTCTACAAAAATTTGCTGGGCATGGTGGCGCACATCTGTGGCCCCAGCTACTCGGGAGGCTGAGGTGGGAGGATGGTTTAAGCCGGGGAGGCGGAGGTTGCAGTGAGCAGAGATGGCAGCACTGCACTCCAACCTGGGTGACAGAGCCAGACCCTATCTAAAAACCAAACTAAAAACAAACACACACAGATATTCAAAATAGGTGTTATGTTTTCCGCTTGACATATGAGGAAACAAAGGCCGAGAAAGGAGAGGTGGGCTGCCCAGGGTCACGCAGGGCGGGAGAGGAGAGAAAGGACTCTTTCCTGGGGTCTCTGAACCTCTCCCTGCCTGGAGCTCCTCTGGTTGCCTCTCCCCACCTCCTCCCAATCCAGTCTTCTTGCAGGATGAGCAGCTGCCTCAGGGCACAGCCCAGGCCTGGAAAGGTGACCCTCCTTGCCCCAGAGCCCCCATCCCATCTTCAACTTTGTGCCTAGGGACCTGGCATCAGGGGGCTGATCCTGTGAGAGAAGATGCTTTGGATCTACAGACATCCCTGTATCCATGTTCCCCTCCTTTCTGCTCCTTCCTCCTCCCCCTGCACCCCACACTCCCAGGACAGCTACCAGGTCAGGCCTGTGGCCAAGCAGGTCATTTGTCTCACCTTCATCCTCCCGCTTTCAATCCATGCAAAAGGGTGAGAAAGACCAGGCACACATCTGTTGCCGACTGGGCACTCAGGCTGCTTGAATCTCTCCTGCATCCACGCACTGAGCGTTCATGTGATGGAACATCAGTCCTAGCTGTCTGCCTGTGAGGACACAGCAGAGTAACCAGGGAGAGGCGTGGAACAGGACGTGCGCTGTGGAGGTCCTCACAGAAAGATCCCTGAGAAAGGACGGTCACATGTATTGAGCGCCTACCATGAACTGCTCATTTCGTGGGCATCCACCTCATTTAATCTGCCTCTGGGGAATGGGGGACGTCAGGGTCCTCAATCTACAGACAGGCTAAATTAAAAACATGTTCAAGGTCAAGTAGCTCTTAGGTGCTTTTGAGCCTAGTTTAGCCTGACTCCTCAGCCCACTAAGCAAGAACCATACTTGTGCCCAGCCCAGGGGCTCGTACGTCGTGGGCGCCTAGCGCTGGCTGAATGAACGAGTGGGTAATGAATGACTTCTGCTGGGGTCATCAAGTGGCTTTCTCAAGGAAGTGGCACTGAGGCCGGGCTTGGGAAACAGTAAGGAGTCTCAGGGCAAAGAAGGTGGAGGCGCATTTCAGGCAGGGGGGAACAGTGAGTGCAGGCAGAGAGGTGCAGAGGCCTGTGGCGTGTTCTGGAATCTGTGGAATCAGGGTGTACCTGTTGGTTTATGGGATGTCGGATGCCGGCTAAGGTGGGACCTGGCTATACCACACTGAGGAGTTGGGACTGGATCCTTTTGTGTAGGGCGAGCCCACAAGGAAGAGAAACACTTACGGTGGTTTGTGTGTTGCTGTTCTTATGCTGACATCCTTGGGGCTCAGAAGAGTCAGAGGGATTTCAGATTTCATAGGTTCTCCACCTGGCTTTGGGGTGCCTCAGTCTCTTCCTCTCTGCACTGGGTCTAGTCAGTGATAGCCAGACTCCCAGGGAAGTTCTTCTGGCTGTCTAACTGCAGGTGTTCTCTCCTCTCACTACCCTCGAGGCAGGAGCACTTTCCCTCCGGTCTCCTCAGAGGGCTAGAGTGAAGTGGCAGGATGGCCAGGAAGTAGCTGGCTCAACCCGAGCTGTGGGCGCTGGGGGTTCCCTGACACCCCAGAGTGTGGGGCCCAGGCCTGACAGCTCAGGGTTATGGAGAACGACGGAGAACAGGAGACTAGGGTTTGGTCCGGCTCTGTCATCTCTGGGTGACCTTGGCCGAGTTTCTGACCTTCTCTGGTACTGAGTCTTGCCGTCTATAAAATGGGGCAGTGGTGACTGGGTAATCATAAGGGTCCCTCCAGTAGGGCCACCTCGGCCTCCCAGAGTGGGGTGCTTTGGGTCCTTAACTAGCGGTACTTCGGGAGAGTACGAGGACCGCCAAGGGGAGGGGCCTGACTCCGTGGGACCCCAGACTGACCCGCTCTCACCCACCCGCTTCCCGGCTTGGCTCGGAGGAACCCTCTCCACCTGCCCCCTGGGGGGGATAAAACCCGGGAGCGGATCCAGGAACGGGTTCTGGGAGGAGCGCTCCTGGGGCGAGGAGGAAAACCCGGGCAGGATTCAGGGCAGGAGCGGGGCAAGCAGCCCCCCGCCCCAGCCCCTGCTCCGCGCCGCGGGCCCCACGGGAGGGGGCTTGAGGCCCGGTGAAGCCGAGGGACGGGCAGGGCGAGGCCCCGCAGGCCACCGGGGCTCCCGGGCTGGGGGGCGCGCGGCCTCCGCAGTGGGGCGCGGGTCACGTGTGAGGAGGGGCGAAAGTCTCGCAAAGCGGGGCGGCGTGCCGCGAGTTGGGAGTTCTCGGCGCGCCGCGGGCGGCGGGAGCTCGGGCTCCCGGGCGAGCCGGGGACGCGGCCGAGGCGGGGGCCGGGGTCCGAGACAGAGGGGGCCGCACTGAGAGTGGGAGGGGGAGAGACAGAGGAGGACCGAGACCGGGAGGGAGACGGACAGAGACGCGCAGGGAGAGCGGCAGCGCGGGCGGAGGGAGGCGGGAGGAGGCCGGCGGGCGACCGCGACGGAGACGGAGACCCCCCGGGCAGAGGGCGAGCGGGGCCGCGGGAGGCAGGGAGGCCGGGAGAGGCCCCGGGACCCAAGCGCGGGGGAGATCCCGGCGGCGGGAGAGAGGCGCGGGAGCGGGCGGGGAGGTGGTGGCAGAGCCTGGCCGGCAGGGACGGGGAGGGCGACCCCGGGCCCGGAGGCCGAGGGGTCGCGGGACCGGGGCTGAGCGCAGCGGGGCCGGGAGCGGAGCGCAGGGCCGGGGGCAGAGCGCACGAGCAGGCGCGGGTGACGGCGGCGAGGAGGGCGCTTGCGGCGGGGGTGGGGGGCGCGGGCGGCAGGGCGCCCCGGGCCCCCGGACCCCCGCGCTCTGAGCCGGGCCGGGCCCGAGGATGCTGACGCCGAGGCGGCGCCGAGGGCGCGGCGCGGGGCAGCGCTGAAAGTTGAGCGGCCCGCGGGGAGCGGCGCGGGACGGCCCGGACGCGGGAAGACCCCGAGACCCAGGCGCAGACGGAGCGGCAGCCGGGGAGGGGGGCGCGGGCCGGCCGGCCGAGTTCGCGGGCAGGGGGCGCCGGGACTCCCCTCTCCGCGCCCGGGACGCTGCCCGCCGGATCGCGCCGTGGGATGTAGCGCCCGCTCGCCGCCTCCCAGACTCTCGTCGGACCCTCCGCCCAGCGGTAAGCCGCACTCGCCCACCGCGAGCGCTTTCCGTCCGTCTGTACCGCCGCGTGCGTGTCTGTATGTCCCGGCCCGACCGCTCCAGCCCCGCCCGCTCCGCACCTGATCCCGAGCCGGGTCCCCGCTACCGGGCGCCGCGCGCGTTTGGCGCGGTCCCGTGACTCCCCGGGAGCGGGTGGGCTCTGTCCGTCTGTCCGTCTCGGAGCGTCGCGGTCTGGGTTTTGTCCTGGAAGGGGAGAGTGGTGGGTGGAAGGGATCTTGACCTCCTGCCCCGGCCGTGATCTTTCCCTGCCTCCACCCACCCCAGTTGTCATGCCGGGGAGCTTCAAGGCAGGTGACTTGTGGCAAGGTGGGGGGGGGGTGCCGCCTTTCCGCCTCCCCAGCTGCAGCCTCGTTGCAAATGTCCCTGTGATCTGAGGAAGAACAAAATCTCACTTCTCTTGTTTTGAGCACCTACTTTGCTCCACATGACCCCAGGGCAAGGGGGCAGGGATCGGTAGAGGAGTATTTCTGTCACATTCACAGTGATAGAAACTGAGGCTGGGGAGGGAGGCAGAGACTGCTTTTTCCTCCGCGTTCAGGGAGGGAGCACCCCAAGGCAAGAGAGGTCTGAATAAGCCTGGCGCAGGGAGAACTTCCCCTGCAATCTGCCAAATGTCCCCCGACCAGTGTCAGCCTTCCTGCCCCCCACCCACACTTTTGCCCCCAATGTCCCAGCCTCAGGATGGAGAGCATGCGGGGAGGTGGGAGGTGGCAAGCTGGGTGGGGTGGGGGGTGGCTAGAGGCAGGGCAGCCTGCCCAGCTGACAGAGCAGGACTTCAAGAGCAGAGATTGTCCAGCAGCAGATTTGGGGGAAGTGGGGAACTCAGGGAGGGAGGCCCAGAGAAGGGCTGGAGCCTAGTGTGTGTGCGTGCGTGCGTGGTGTGTGTGTAACATCTACACCCCTTCTCCCCTACATCCAGTCCCATTACCTCCATGGTTTCAGGCCTTTAGTAGGACTTCAGGGTCCCAAGACTCTCACTGTTGCCCTGGCTTAGCCTATGATGACAGGAGCCAAAGGTGGACCAGGGCAGCTGGGGTAAGAGATGAGTGCAGCGTGGTGGGAGGGAACAGAGACTGTTCCATATCCCAACTGGAGTTGGAAGGGCTGAGCCTAGAACATTCCACTCTATTCTCAGAGGAAGGACTTTCTGGGGGTTTCCACACTGGGCAGTGGGTGTCATATGCGCTCCATTCAACCCCCAAGAAATTAGCTTAGCTGGCGGGGAGAGCAGACCCCTGGGCTGATCACTCTCCTCCCAACCACCAGCTTCCACGTCTGTGGCATGGGAACGTCACTCTCTGCCCCAGTGACCTCCAAGGAGGACCCTGGGCTCAATGAGCAGAGGGTTATTCACAGGCTGGGGAAAGCGCTGGGCAGATGGGAGTAAGGACTCACTTTACCTTAAGAGAGATGAACAGCTAGTGGGTGGAGGTGGGCGTGGGGCGATGGGAAGATGGTGGAAATAGAGAACTACCAAGGAAGAGTGTCCAGGATTAGAGGGGAGTCTGGGGTACTATTCATGGCCCCTTGGTTACCCTTGAACAGAAAGCTCTTCTCTCAGAAAATCCTCTGGAGTGGCTGTGAGCAGACAGCTGGTTGAGTTTCTGCTGGATGACCTTGGGTGGGTGGCTTGACCTCTCTGACCGTCAGTTTCTTCAACTGGAGAATAGGGATGACGATACCACCTTCATCAGGTGTCAAGTACTTTGCAGACTGTGTCAGGTCTGAGAAAGCCGTGTGTGCGAGCCTGGAGCATAGTCGGTTCGTAGACATTTGCGAAAGAGAATGAAGTGGCTCTGGGAGCTGCTGTGAGATGTCTTAGCTTAGGATAAGAGGGAAGGGGAGGAGGAACAGTGTAGGCTTACAGGGCGGGCTGCTTCTTAATGTGGATCTGGGGGAGGCGGGGGCGAGTGCTAAGGGGGGTGTGAGGAGGAGGGGGCCCCTCTGCGGGGACCACTGAGTCACGAGGACATGTAAGCGACATGACAACCAGCGACATGGTAACCAGGAAACTAGCGGCGGTGGGAAACAGAGCTGGAGCAGTGTGGGGTGGGGGTGGCGGGCAGGCCTGGCATCGCTGGGCTGCTCAAGGGGTCTGGGAGCAGCCCAGCCGGCCTCTTAGAGTGAGGAGGGGAGGCCCCAGGGCCAGGCAGGCTGGGGAAGAGATGGGGGCCCTGAGGGGAGGGAGGGAAGACACCTCAGGGCTGCAGGGCAGGGGGCTTCTCCTGCACCACCCCAGGCTCCTCTCTGCTCCTCCACGTCTCCACTTTTCATGCCTCTCCCCCTAGGATGCCAAATTTGGCTCACGCAATCTGTCGTCTCTCTTCTGAGATTGGCACCGGGACGAAAGCCGAGTGCATTACATCACCACCGCCGCCGCTCCCC